TTTCTGGTGAGCACACACACCCTATAGCAAAAACTTCTCCAAAAAAGAAAAAAAAAAATAGGCATCTTTCCCCAGCTCTCCAGTTATTTCTAAAATGACACTTGCTGCCTGTTAATGAAGACACCAAAGAGAGCTTGCTGCTTAAGTAGGTGGGGATATGGGGAATTCCATATGAGTCAGCTGTTCACAACACCCAGCAGATAAATATTAATTAAAAGAGAAATGAAAAGGAGACTTAAGCTGGAATGTTTCTTAGGAAGTCTTGAGCATCACTAGATAATACTGAACTTGGGGTGACTTAGCTGGGTTTCTCAACTCAATAATTTTGGAAAAGGAGACAGCCATCCTGAACACTTCATTTTATGCCATGACTGCAGATACCCTGGACCGTAAGCAGCTCTGGATTCCTCTGGCTGAGGACTCCTCAGTCTCCAGAATCCAGTATGAATGGAGCCCAAGGTTATGAGGGAGGTGGCATTCATGCATTCATTTGTTACTGAAGTCCTACTCTGTGCTGGGTGGTAGAGATACAATGCAACACAAAAGAACTAAAAGATGTCCTTAACTTATGGTCTGGGGAACACAGATGGTCAAAAAATCATACAGATGTCAGATTTCAACTGCCACGAGAGATGCACAGGGCTCTGAGTCTGATCTTTGAATGCTAAAAAGGCGATGATTGAAATGATTGGATGATGATTGAAAGTCTGAAGGACGATCAGGGGAAAGGACAGCATGAGGTAAGGGTGGGAGCCTTTTGAATATGAGAAACCAAACAAAGACTAACACGACCAGAGCATAGAAAATATGGTGCTGGATGGCCCTGGAGAATGAGTTAAGGGCCAGAGCCACAGGGCCTCAATGGTCGCCAATGAATTTAAATTTTATTCCAAAAGCTTTGGTGGATTTTATCAGGGAAGCAACATGAGTCAACATTTTTCAAAAAAGTCACTCAGTCTGCCCTGTGGAGACCAGATTAGGCAGGAGAGTCGGGGTGGGGCTGGAGTAGAGAGCTGAATAGAGAGTCCGTACTCCAGGTTAGGTGCCATTGAAGCCATCTAGAGTTAGGAAAGGAGTTGCATCTTCAAATGGCCTTGACATAGGCATCTGCCACCACCTAGGGTGAAAAGAGCACTGAACTAGCAATCCAAAGACTGGAATGATTTTGAGTCCAACTGTGTACTGGACCTAAGGCACCAAGGGAGTGATTTTGCCTCTAAGCTTCTATTTTGCTTGAATGCTCAATGGAAGTCATGCCTTCTGACTGCTAACTTATGATTTCAGACCACAGAATCTCAGATATGGGAAGAGCATGAGAGCAAGCAGCTGATCCCCAGTCCCAAATGACACTTGATCCTTCCTCTGTTCTTAGAATTGTGTCCCTGGCACTGGGTACCCTAGGAGACCAGGAGTAGTCACCAAACACAATATCTCTAAATGGTTCACCATTTAAATGCCTTCAGATATGGGGAACTCATTCCACTGCTGGGATAGCCATTTCATTGTGGCACTGCTCTAACCATCAAAATATCAATCTCATATTTAATTAGTGCCTGTCTTTCTGTAATTTTGAGAACTGCTCCTAAATAAGATCGCATGGCACAAGCCCCATACCAAACCTTCTATGAACATGTCTCTCCAAGCCTTGTCTTCTGGTTAAATGTCCCCTACAGCTTCCTAAAGCTTTATTTTATGAGATATAACTCATTCCAGTCTCCTGATGTCATTCTTTTGAACAAGTTTCCTCCTCCTTTTCCTTTTAATGTGAAACATTTAGAAGCACTCATTTCTACATAGCAAGCAATAATAAGTATTTTTTGTGTATCCTGGAGTGAACACTGTGGGCTTGGAGTGAAAAGGAATCTCCAAGAAACTGAGATAAAATGAAGAACAAACGGCTATGGGAATAGCACAGAAAGGGTCAAGCAGGGTTTTGGAAGCAATGTAGGACAAGAAAGTGAGCCAGCAGACCTGGATATGTTCTGAGTCACAGTGGGACTTGAGACTCTTGAGTTTCTTTATTGGTAAAACATATGGGTTAGGTTGGTGATTTCTCTCATTGTTAGGTATTAGGTTCTAGTTCAGTACTGTCACCAACCGAAGGGTCTGAGCTGGAGGCTGTCAGAGCACATGTTAGAAAGGGCTTAAAGATACAGTAGCTCCAGGATTAACGTCCTTAATAATTTGATCAGGATGGAAAAAGAAAAGTAATGCAAATAACTTTATCACTACAATTTGCTATGATTTATTGTCATTTCTGTCTACTTCATAAAATCATCCTGTTAACAGCCAATTCATCCTGTAGTATTTTGAGACTTTCTGGACTTGGAAATACCCTGGCTAGTTATAGCTCTCTCCATGGCACTGGGCATAAGAAAGGAGAACAGGATTCTGAGAAGTTTGAGGATAAATTTTTCACCTCATTCATGATTGTAGACTTGCCATTTGGGTCTCTTTATTCTAATTATATTCTTTGTGTATAGGGGAGGGTAGATTGTGCCTGCATCCAGTGGTGACATTCCCCCTGATAGCTAGTGTATGGCTTTTTCCATTTGATTTCCTATACATTCTTTTTTCCCTCCTTTTCCTTCTGTTCATTTTGGTGTCCATTGCCACCCAGGAGGGAAATAGTTAGCAGACAGTGTGACCAACATTTCTGGATAAACGTGTGCATACTAAGTATAAATACATTTGCATTCATATATTTATGTGCATTTGGTGTGTGTGTATCTGCATTTGAAAGATTATTTGTGTCTGATTTGCGGGCTAGTGTTGACATACCTGTATTTTGGTCAGCATGAATCTTGATGTATATGTATGTGTGAAAGTGAATGTGAACATATGCCTGTGGGCTTTCTCACCCTCAAAGAGCAGCAAGTCCATCCTTATCCCTGATAAGGAATGAAAAGCAGAATCTCTCTGACATTTGAATTTTTACATCTTGCTGACATAAGAGAAGGGTGCAATAGGGCTCGGCAGCCTTGGCGACACAGACAGGACTCAGGCTGGCTCTTGGTCCTCCCCATATCCCTCTACAATTGATGTACATTCTCTGATACCTCTTCCCTTTGATCTGCAGGTCCCTGTCTGGTCGCATCGTCGGTGGCGTCTGGTGGTTCTTCACCTTAATTATCATCTCCTCATACACAGCCAACCTGGCCGCTTTCCTGACTGTCGAGAGGATGGTGTCTCCCATTGAGAGTGCAGAAGACCTAGCAAAGCAGACAGAAATCGCTTATGGGACGCTGGAAGCAGGATCTACTAAGGAGTTCTTCAGGGTAGGGACATCTCTTGTCCCAAGGCACTTTTACAGAAGAGAATAAATATTGTCATTAAAATATCCTTCTCATTATAAAGAAAGATTATAGACAGCCAGGACAATTGCTTAATTGAGTGCAAGTTAAAAATTTAAAACATTTCTTAGCTTTCTACAGACCCTTGAGAACTCATACTTCTACATCTATAGAAGCTTCACAACTCCTGCATTGATTTAGGTGTCTCGCGAATAACAACAGACATAGCTAATTCTCTGAGAGGTACAAAGGACATCAAATACAATTCCCTCCCTGCTCAAGGACCTTACAGTCTTGTTAGTAATCAATTAGGAACAGCTTGTTAAGTCCAGATCTGATGGTCTTTGTGTTCCCTCAGTCTCACAGCAGAAGCCCAGTCAAAGTTGACTCAGTGAATAAGATGACAACATATGGAAAATTAACTGGTTCAGATGATCTAGTAAATAGTGAGATGAAGGGAGTCAAGGGGAAAAAGAAAGAAAGAAAACATTTAAGGGACCCAAAAATGGAAAATTATCTGTTGATGATAACATATATAACATATTTAACTGGACTAATTAATATACAGTGTATTCAGGCTGGGAAAATTCATTTTGCAAGCCATAACGATGTATAATGAATGAACGTATAAAAAAATTTAGTAAATAAGTAGTGTCTGCTAAGGGGAAAAACGTGAAATGGGAGTAGAGGTGATGAATGAAGGCAGAAAAGCAGAGAAGTTAGAAAAATAACTTTAAGGGTCAGCCAGATAGAAGACTAGAACTTGGCTCCATCTCTTACTTTTCTGTATACTTAGCCTATAGGACACTATTTTTATAGAATAAAGAAAATGATGTCCATCTCAGTTTTAAGAGTGGAAGAGGTAAACCATCTAACATACAAAGGGAAATGAGGAACAATAAATGGAGGCTCCATTTTCCATTAGGGTTTCAAGGAAGTGTAAGCATTTAGGAATCCTCTGGACAAAAGGCGTAGGGATTGAAGCCACCAAAGGTAGACTCGAAAATATTTGAAGATATCGTAAAACCAGCCTGAGTAAGCTACATACATGTGAGGCAACGGGAACAAATTGAGCAAATGCCCGGAAGCAGGAAAACCTGTAATTCACTTAATTTAGGGCATGTTCATCCTGAGAGTTGAATAAACAGCATGTGGAACCACCATTGACCCAATAAAAATAATAATTCAGACCACTTACTTAAGGCTTACTCTGAGCCAGATACTGGGCTACATTCCCTTCAAGAATTATCTCATTTAACCTCATTATGGATGGGTTAGGGATTATTGATCTTGTTTCATAGATGAAATTCAAAAAAGTAAAAGTAGTCACCTAAGGTGAAGAAGTAACAGAAGGAGCACAGAAAGCAAGCCCATCCACTGCCTCAGGCAAGAGAGTTGATCTGGGAGTACCCAGTGAGGTTCTTACTGCAACTTTAAGGAGCAAATTTTAGGCCCTGCTACAGTTTCTTGATCATCAGCTTTGTGTTCTGTCTCACAGGCAGGTAAAGGACCAAAGTCCTAACCATCACCAATTCTGGTTCCAAAGCTAAGAACATCAATTTGCAACGTATTAGAGCAAGAAGGTTCCTTAGAGGTCACCTAGTCAGAGTCTGTCATGTTAGAGAAAGGCATGACTTGCTTAAGCTCACCCAGCCAGTTAGTAGAGAAAAACGTTTGTAATCTCATTACAGCCTTCTAACATTTCAGCCTGCAGCCACAGTGTAAAGGAGGTGCCTGGTGTTTGTCCATAAAGCCAGTCCTATGCCCCAACCCTGCCAATGCAGATGAAAACCATTCAATTCACTTCACAATGCTCTCATCCCTGTACTACATAGAGCTTGTCTCAGAACTCAAAGCACTTTCACATCCATGGTCAGAGTGATGTTTCGGCTGGGACCGAAGGCAGAATAGAAATTATATTGTCCACTTTGTAGATAAGAAATTGAGGCTCAGGGCATTTAAAATATAAGTGTCTGGAATGGGTATCTAGTCTGAGTTTCCTCATCCCCTCCCAAGTCTTGTATGTGTGTGTGTGTGTGATAGAGCAAGTGCGCCCACCAGACAGAGAGACAGAGAGACAGAAAGCGAGAAATCACCCCCCAGGGGGGATGGCCACGCCGCAATCCCTTCTCCTCCATTCTCCTCTCAGGATCTTGGGCACACACACACACGCGCCCAGCGTGAGTTTTAAGCCACCCGGTCTGGGATGAGAACTGTGGTCGACTACGTGGGAGTCCAGCGACATAGCCATTACGCTAA